ATGATGACGATGAGGATAATGATGATGGTGGTGATTCGATGATGAGGATGATGAGGAGGAGGATGAAGAAGGTGATGATGATGATGAGGATGATGAGGATGGTGATGGTGATGAAGATGAGGATTGTCAATTTGATTTGTTTGAGTCGAGCTGCGCGCCGTGAAACAACATTTCCAAGAATACGCCTCAAACCCTAACACAAGTTGACCTCGTCTTGTTTTCATTTCTTCATTTTTTTTCAACAAGCCAGTCTGCTGCTTCCATCGTCTGCCGCGGGTCACAAGCCAGTCTGACAACTTGCACAAGCCAGTCTGATGCTCACAAGCCAGTCCGACGCTTTTCGAGAACCCTCGCAATGCAGTTTGAGACCCACAAGTCTTTCTGATACTTCACTAGTCAGTTTGAGCCTTTCGATTCTCACAATGCAGTCTGAGTACCCCCACAATGCAAAATGAGTAGCAGACCTCACCAAAGCTCAGAACCCGTGATAGAGAAGTTACAGGACCTTGTGCAGACGGCGCCCGCTGAGACGCGTCTGGTGGACATTTTCTACAAGAATGTGCGCAAACAGGGTCGGTGTACAGTGGCGCAAGGCCCCCCGGATCTTATAACTTCTAGGCGTGATGGCCAGCGTGTGGGGCAGCAGAAGGGTGGCTGGCGCACCTATGCTGTTGTGGAAAACTACACGTGGCGACAGTACCATGCGGTGGTTGGTCGATATCAAGTCAATCATCAACGTGTTCGCTCCGAGGCCCTTTGCCAGCAGGACTATCGTTTCTGTTGCAGGGACGACTGGGTGGCAACGCAGGTGCCCTCAACAGGTGTCTCCTCGCGTTGATTTCAGTTTGGTAAAGGTGCACCCTGTTTGTCTTGATGACGATGCGCCGGCTCAGCATTTCATCCTCCGGTTCGACTTGTGGTACCCTTTCCTGCTCTGAGTCGGTGGTCCTTCGATTCGACGACCGCAAAATGGCTTGGGTGTTAGCAGGAAGGATGACCCAGTCCGCCTCAAGCTCCGCAGGTTCATGTGGTGGCGTCGTGAACCTGGTCTTATGACACGCCTTAAAACTGATGACAGCACCATGCTGTCGTTGCTCTGTACGCCCAGGGAGGTGCGCATTGATGACTCCCTGGACACTGGCTTGACCGGACCGCAACCTGAGCGCAAGATAAAATTCCTATAGCTTCGCCCGTTGCGGCTTGTGGGAACAGAGCAATCGGAGCCTTTTCCTCGATGCGCTGGTGGTGGTCCGCATTTGGTGCTGTCAGGCGGCGTTCCCTGGCAATTTGGTCACGTACGCAGCCCCGATTTGGATCCGAGTTGCTACCCTCTGGGCAGTTTCTGGTATGGGGATGGTACTTTTTTTTCCTCGAACGATTCCTTTTGAGTTTTCTGGTCTCGACCAACGATTTATGCTTCTTTCAGTGCTGTGAGTATGGCTCCTTCCTTTGTCCTGCGGGGGTGACTTCTGGTGTTCTTTGGTAGCAGAGATCAGCTGATTAGCTTGGAGCAAGGGTACACCGCGTAGCGCCTTCACCGGTGGGGTAGCTGGTTGATGTCCATTCCATCCTGTCCTTCATCAGCCGTGTCCTGACAGTGTCTTCCTATGTATTCCTATGTATTTACAGGGCTTGCGAGGATTTCCCTGGTTCCTGACAACACGCATTGCTTTCCTTCGTGTCGGTTTTCTTTTTTTGCCGCCTCATTGGTTGGAGGCCTTACGTGCGCTTCGCCTGGATTTCGTTGAGTGGCGAATGTCTTGTGACCTATTGCATCCTATTGTATTTCCATGATCTGCGAGCCTTTACTTGCAGCACTGGCTTCAGCAGTCAATTCGTACTGCGATTTTTCTGCCATTTGAATTCATCCTTTGTGAGCCTTGCGTGTATAGTTGCGGAGTTGCCTTGTCTCCGTGCTCCTCCCTTTGCTTGCTTTCCGGTTTTTGGTGTGGTTTTGGTTTGGGTTTTGTTTGCTGGGTTCCCTCTCTGTCTTATCCGGCATTGCGACTTCTCACTTTCTCACTTTCTCTTTCGTCTCACCCCCCTTTTGCGACATCTTCTCACCTCCTTTGTTTTACCTGGCTTTTGTGCAGACGCGTGCTCGACACGGAACGCTGCCTCAGGTCAAAAACAGCGCCAGCAGCACCTTGCCCACGGTGGCCAGCGTGACGTCGAGGAACTTGTGCTTCAGCAGCAGGGCCAAGGCTGTTGTGTCCGCCTCGGTGGCGTCCAGGATCTGGAGGCTTGCCTGGAAGTGTGCGCCGAAGTGCAGCTTTGCAATCCCGTTCGGGTGCGCGGTGAAATGCATCTTGGCTGTGCTCCAGGTGCCCTGGTCCGAAGCTGCCGTGAAAGGGTCGTAGACGTTGTCGGCCTTGGACATGTGTGCCACAAAGTTGGAGGCCGTGCCAAGGCGATACCGAGCTACCGGCGGGAGTTAGGTGTGCGCGAGGGTTCACTGCCAGGGTCAGGGTGTAGCCGTTGACGCTCAGGCACCCCACGGTGTGAGTGGCCAGGACCACGCTGCAGCCGCTGCGGGACGAACCATCCAATTTGCCAGGGAGACGTCCGTGGGGCCCAGGATCTGCTCCCCGATGGCCGGTGCAGAAGTTGAGCAGGGCCGCGGCGATGCTCGAGGCCGTTACGCCACCAGCGCCGATGTGATCTGGTTGGTGGTGAAAACGTCCTGGTCCGGCCCCGTCCGGCAGGCCAGCGGCGCAACTAAGCCCCCTTTTGATACAAATTGGAGTGTTTGCAAGTTTGACACAAATTGTTGGAACGGCAGTGATACATGCTTGCGAAAGGCAGTTGGGTTTCAATCTGCTAGAAGATTGCCAAAAGGCAGAAATCCGTGCAAGAGAATTGCCACGCATCTCCTTTCCATCTTAAATGGTGCAATATGGCACCTCCAGCAGTTTTAAGGCCTGGTAGCCTGAGGGCCGCCAACAATGACACAAACATTGCGATTTCTATGCATTTGTTTTAAACTTAGTTCTGCACTCTAGCTCCACTGGAAACACATGTGTAGGTTGCATGTTGAGCTGCAGGTTTTGAGGCGTTGGCGCTCTCTGAACGCAAGGTAGCGTTTTTTGTCTAGCTTTGTTGCGCAGCAAGTCTTGTCTAATTGCCTGATGCTCATTCGCCATGCTTTTTCTGCGTGATTTTTTCAGCATATTTGTCAAGACCAACGCTAAACATCTTTCTTTTGAAGCCGTAAAACACAGCTGTTTGCTTTGCGGTAGAATTCCTGTTGCGTGTTCGTCCCTGCTCGCTTTACTTGGTTTTAGCGTTTTGGTTCCTTCAGGGAAGAGGTCTTGGTTTGTTGTGTCGCAGCTGCTTCTTGGGCGCAACACTCTGTTATGTATTTGTCGGCAGAAGCGTGACAAATGCGTTATGTTATTTCTCGGACAGGCTCTTGGCATGCTGGGTGGTTGCTGCTTTGTGGTGGGAATATTGTGATGCTCATTCGTCCTGCTTAGTTTGCATGAAACATACAGTGTTATGCTTTTGCAAGGATAAGCCCTTGGTATGTTCTCAGGACTGCTCATGTGGCACTCCGAAGCTGTGCCTTCCCATTCTGCCTATCGTCGACGCACTTCGAATTTGAAAATGACAAATGCAAGCTGGTTTTCTGGCGGGTTGCAGTGAATTTCAGTGTAATTGTGGTACCGGAACATGTTTTTCCGGAAGGCTGTCAAGCGGAGACGCATTCCATGGAGAGTCATATGCATAGGCCTACACCAGCCGATCCATGAACATGATGGATACCCGGGAGATTTTGCACCTGAGGACCATCATTCCATGACAAGGTTAGTTGGCTCCGGTATGAAGAACTGGTACGTGACTGGACAGCTTTCGGTTGAGAAGGCAAGACGTGCTCCTATGCTGAAGAGCATACACAAGTACATCAATGTTTCCCTTTGCTTTCCCTGTATTTTCACTTTGTTTTTCCCTTTTTGGTTTCCATTTTGTTTTTTCCTAGGGTTTCCCTTGGTGGGAGCCGCTCCAAAAATGCAGCTTGAACCAAGGTATTTCGTTGGTTTTGGAGTGCTTGCCTCATCTTGACCCGACGGCAACGCGCGTGTAAGCAATCAAAAACAAGAAGCCCGCCCTGTTCCCCCACCTTCTGCCCACTCTTTTCTTCGCTCGCGCGCCATTCTCTCCGCCATTCCTCTTCTAACTATCGGCTCCGCTCGTCTATTCTCTCCGCTCGTTTACCAACTCTTCGCTTCGCTGTTCTCTTCGCAATCTTTGTCTTCCTCCCTGCTCTTGGCTCCGCTCTTCTCGCCACTCTGCTGCTCACTCTTCTCTCCGCCCCTTGCTCAGCTCTTTCCTCCATTCGGTTTCCGGCTCTTGTATCGTGAAGTTCCTCCAGGTGGGCTTGAAAATAGTCTTTGCCAGCCAAACAGGGATTCCTCTATTTAGGAGACAGACCCAAATACTCCCCAACAGGGAACAATCGCAACAGCGACCCTGCTGATTAATATAGTAGGGGAGTCGTTGATCAGAGCCAACATTATGCCACATTCCAAATTTGAAGGCAGTGGACCAAAGCAAACATCAATGCCCATCCGGTTTGGTTGTTGGGTTGGCTTGGTGCTCCAAGTATTTGAGCTCGCCCGGTGCTTGGAACAAGCGGTTCAGTTCCAGCTTTGCAAATAGTGGGGTTCCCATGGTGTGGTCTCTTTACTGACCCCGGTTTCAAGCAGAATCACGAGTTCCCTTGCGGGGAAATCAGCCTGAGTTTAAGTCATTGACAGCCAAAGATGGAGCCCTGAAGACAAACGCCCGAAGGTTTTTGGGGGGCAAGTTGGGCACCCAATCGCCCAGAGAGGGTTTCGATCGGCCGTAGCTCATTTTTCAGTTTAGTCTCACCGCTGTTTTGCCATGCACTTCAGTCATTTAGCCTCCTTCCGCCAAGTTTTCGGCCATTGTGCAGAAGTATCAAGAGGACCAACGAGAAGGTGGCAAGATTTGAATGGACGAGTTGTTAAAACGACACACGCTTGACTTTCGAAGAGAGGGGCCTTCCGGCCACTGGCATGTGCGCCATGCGCGCCATGCGCGCCATGCGCGCCTTGCGCGCGATGCAATGCGGGGGTGTTCGCAGCTTCAGCAGCCGACCCCCGAAATCACCGTACCTGCAGCAGAGGCCGCCGCCACCAGGCCGGGAAGCCATGGAAATCGCTATGGATTCGTGTTTTGGGGCGCCATGTTTTAGGGATATTTGGCAGAATCAGGTTGGGGAACAGTTGGATGCTGGGTGTGTTAGGTGCTTCGGAGTTGTTGTCTTTGACCATCTCTCAGGACCCCCACCCGCGCCGACCAATTCCGCGGCCCCAGCACCACCTCCACCAGCGCCGGCGGCTGCGGCGGCCTCGCCGGCGGCCACACCAGCAGCGATGGCGACGCCAGCGGCCACGGCGCAGACGGCTCCGCAGAGGTATGGGCCGCTGGAGGTGAATCTGAAACCGAAGGACCAGCGCTTTGGTTTCAAGGCTGGCTTTGAGTGTGGAGCAGACACAATATGGCTGTGGTTGTCAAAACCAATGGTACCATTATGGGGTAGGTGCACCATCCATTTTACTCCGTTTTTGTGGGGGTTGGGATGTTTATTGGGGGTGCGATCTCCTTTTCGGGTCTCCTCTGAATGGCAAAGGATGAATCCCTGATGAATGTGTGCGCAGCACTTCCAATCAACCTTCACTTTTGGGGAGACCCGTTCAAACTCTGCCAGGGTTCCCTTGGACTCCGTGTCACAAAGGAGGAACCAGGTGGGGTAGGGCCATAGAAACCTGTACACTCTCCTGGTACCACAAGTGATGGACAGGGCCCTAAAACTGGTGCTTGAACTATTCGGTGAAGACAGATTCCGGAGTTTTCGTGTACCTTGGGCTAAGTCACCATGGCTCACCAGCTGTACGCTCAAGTCCTAAACAATCAAACGTTTGTCCAACTTTTGGAACCATTCATGGCCATGATCCACGATTTGGGGAGTTTCAAGCGCTGATCGGGGTGGACAACACCCTGGAACACCTCCAAACCATCGATTCGGTTCCAAATCCTCTGATTGAAATGTGGTTTTCCAGTTTTTTTTCTTCTCCCCCCTTTTTCGCGCGACCTAGCAACAGACGAGGTTGAGACCTTTGCTGCCCACCTGGAACCCGCCACCCACTCGGCGTCCGGAACCGCAAGAGTTGGAGGCAGGTTTGCAAGCACAATGCAACAAAGAGAGGCTGGCCTCCTTGGACAGGTTACTGGACTGTCTCACCTCTGTTTCGAGCTGTCATCTCCACCTTACGTAGATTATATGTAGGAACTAGTATGCCCAAAAGGTTTACAGAGTTTTGGCAACCAGGAGAAACAAGATTGGTTTCAATAATCTAGTGAAATCCATGGTAAAGGGAAACCAGGCGGGTTTTCAATTAACAAAAATTAGCGACCCTTTGGTGGACATCATTTGGCTGGGGATTTCTGCCCACCAACGACTTTCGAGGGTCCCCATTCAAATTCATGGCCAAATGGGTGTGGGTGGCAATTGAACTACTGGGGGACCGCAGGTTTGAGTCCATGTTTCCGTTTACCAGGGCAAGCCATTTTGGGTACCATTTTATTGACCTGCAGCCAAATGTGAGCCAAGGGCGGCCCTTTTTTCAAAGTTCACCGTGCAACCGGAGGTGAGCACACGCCTCCGGTTTCTCTTCGAGGAGAGGTGGTGGGCCGCTACGGTGCGGGAGGCCTACGACACGGAGGCCGAAGGGAGCCGTTGCGATCTTTCAATGGTTGGCCGAGGTCCGGATTTTTTAGAGATTCCCCGGATGAACTTAAGCCCTGGTTGATGAATAGGGTGCTTTGTATGGACACCTGGGGTCTTTTATTTTATTTTATTTTTTGTGACTCATGGATGAATCAACTCAGATCACTCTCAATTGTGGCTTGCATTGGTGGTTTGGGGGTGTGAATCGGTCCTTGTGGAGGGTAAATGCTGGAAGCCACTCTCTAACCTCCACAACCAATCCAACCACCAATTGAAGGGAAGCCGATCAACTCTTCGTTGATTCAATTACATACACACACACACACGCACATTCTGCGAAACTTGCAGGGTGAAAGATTGTCTTCCCAGAAGTAATCAGGTGCAAAGTTAGGGCAGAATTTCTGCTCAGCTCAATTCTAAGACAAGGATTCTGGAAAATTGGGCAGCCAACCCAATCCATTTTGCTAGACAAATGACTGAGCTGCTTTAGCCCAGGTGAGCTCGTTCTAATTCCCTGCAGATTGCTTCTCAGGAAAACACACAAGGACTATCGAAGACACAAACGACAATGCGGCTGGATGGATAAAGTCTACTTCGCACCAGTTGGTAGGTAGCTTGTCCCAGAAAATCAGGTGAACAAATGGTTTTTGTTCAGACCCTGTTTCAGGTAGGGATGCGGGCCCATACCACTCCATGACACGTTGGAGCCCGCCATTAGGTTCTTTCTGGGGAAAATTGCCGCCCAAGGCCTGGTTAATTTTGATGTGGGTCCCGGGTCGGGACCCTTTCAGTGGAGGTGAACTAGTCGCGTTTGGAACGGACCCTGGCGAAAAAAAACACCGTTTGGAACGTTTTTTGCGCAGCTCTGCCATGCGTTTTCGTGTTGCAAAATGAGTGTGGCACGCGTGGGGTGGCTGTTAGAGCCAGGACCCATGGCCCCGGACCCCGGGACAAATGGGTTGGCTGGTCAATTTTCCAGAATCCTCGTTGAATTAAGCTAAATAGAATTTCTGCCCCAACTTTGCACCTGATTACTTCTGGGAAGATGATTTTCCCCCAAAACGGTCCTGCTGGTGATGTTGGTGGGAGGGTACAGGGAAAGAAGCCTGGAGATCCGACACTTTCGCTTCTTTACCACGTCAGGCAGACCCTAAGTCTTGATGTTTCAAACAGGACTTTGTTTTCCAGGCTCACCTTAGGTTTCAGCTAGGGTAAGCACTGAGAATAGGGAGGTTTCCCAATGAGAGGCACCCAACTGGACTGACAACAGTGGCCATTTTTCCGCAGGTTCTTGACCCCATGCATGGCAGGCGTGCCACTTTCCCCAGAAGGTGAGATGCAGCTTCGGAGATGGATTCAAATGGCTGTGGCTCAAAAAACCGGAATTCCAAAATGGCTTGCCCTGGTAAGTGGAAACATGGGTACCAAAACCTGCGGTTTGCCCCTCCGATCGTTTAATGTTGAGCCACACCCAAATGACGGTTGAGCTGAAAGCCGCCCAGTTCCACAGGAAATCTGTTTCGAAGGGAAGCTCCCGGCTTTTGCCAGAAACGCTCTCGCCTTTCCGGCATTCGATCATTCTCGCTTTCGGCAAAACGCCGGCTTAGCCTAGATGCGCCAAAATTCCCTATATTCCCAATTTTGGTGGTTTCCACATGACAGGCCCAGTTAAGGTGTATTTTTCTTGCTGCCGGCAGTGGAACGAGATACTGCAATGAGGGCACCCTGTTCACCTTGGTTGAAGTGGTCATTAGGGACTACCATGTCTTGGGGTCTGAATGGTTTTGAAACCAAAACATGATGACCCCGCTTGGCGGGTGGTTTCGCTTTGGTGTCCCTTTGAACCGATCCAAAATAAGGTACCTCGAGAAAAACACACTCCGAAATCCCTACTGTGGATGGACGAAATCCTGTTCCAGGTGAGATGGATAAATCTCTAGACCTACCAGCTGGAGCATCCACAGTGTGGTGGACGCATAAAGAGTCTCTTTTGCAACCTTCTCTTGTTTTTTTTGGCCCAGTTTTTGTTTTGCTATTTTGGGTATTGGTTTTCTCGGGCGGTTGGCGTCTGCCGAGAAAAAAACCCGTCGCCCAGCCATTGCGACGAGAGGTGCGGGTGGGCTTCGATGGCTGGCCGAGCCGCCATGACCAGATCTTGCCCCGCAACTCCGAACGCCGCTTCCGCTGAGAGACGGGATGTGAACTGAAGCGGATGAAGTGGAGAGGGATGGTGCGGTGTGGATTTGTCAGCCACAAGTTTTTTCTTTTTTTGGAGAGGTTTTGGTTGGATGGGTTGGAAAGGGTTTTTTTGTGGGATGGGTTGGGGTATGTTAGCAGAGAGGGTTTTGGTGGCTGGTGGGTAGTTAGTGACTGTCAGTGAGTTTGTTAGTAAGATGTGTGTTCGGCTTGTTGGTTAGTGGACAGGCTTGGAATTTTGGTTAGCAGAGAGGTGTGTTTGTTGGCGGGCTTGCCAGTGGGGTTTGCTAGCGGGGTTGTTCATGGAGAGGTTGTTGGCGGGGTTTGCCAGCGGGGTATGTTTGCGGGTCTGTTCGTTGAGGGGGGTTTGTTCGGTTCATTGGCTGTTAGGGGGTTTGTTAGCGGGGTTTTGGTGTTGGAGTGGTTTGTTAGTTGTCGTTAGTGGCGATGGTCTGAGAGTTGTGTGGTTGGCAACTCCTCAGTTTGGTAAGCTTCTATAAAAATAAACAGTTTGAGGAGGTGTCTGGAGAAGTTGATTGGGGGGCCGCGTGTGTGTGTGTGTGTTGCATGTATTTTGCCAAACACGGCTCCCTCTCATGTTGGATAGTCGGGGAAGCCAAGCCCAGTCTCCCCGCTCGACGTTTGCCGGCAATTTGGCTCGAGCTTTGGCCTGGGAGCATCCACGTCAGAGCTCCAAGGCCTCAACCTGGTGCTCCTCAAAAGTACACACTCGTGTATACCATCATGCCATTTGTATGCCCGTCACCTGTTTCTAGTGGCATTATGTAGTTGATTTGTATTTAACACTTGTCTGCCTTTTGTGCGTCCTAAAGCGCTGGTTTTGCGGTTGCCTTGTGGGGTGAAGGTGTCAGGGGTGTTTTACTTGATGCTTCTTGCTGCATACTCCAAACGACGCATGGCGTTTGTCAGCGCTTTGTGCACGTTTTGTTAAGGCCTCTTCCTCCGAACTTCCTAGACTTATTTGGTCCCAGGGCTTCCTTTTGGAGGATGTTGAGAACGGAGGAGAGGGGGGGGGGTCCTTAGGGAAATGCCTTTCTTTGCTTCACCCTTTGGGGGAGATTTCTCTTGAGGGGGACCAAATATCCAAGCTTTGGCCATGGGCAAGGGCTCTTTCATTCATTTTCGTCTTACTCTCTTTTCCCTTTCGCATTGTTTTGAGCTTGGTGGGATGCTTTTCTCCTCTTTTCCCGTCTGTTGCATGGTGGAACGCGGGGGTGGCCGGGTCGCTCGCTCTGCAGGCCTCTACCTGCACGAGTGCCACCACCCGGACTACGAGGCGCCCCCGGTGCCGCAGCGCTTCCAGCGGCCGCAGCCGGTGGACTCTGAGGCCGACAGGGAAGCGGTCGCTCCGCGGAAGCGCTCCACAACCCGACAACCCCAAGCCGCCAATTGGAATTTGAGAGGTGGCCCTTTGAGGCCGTTTGGTTTGGTGGGTTAACCACCAATTGGAGTTGGGAAGCTGACCCTTTGGACCTGTTTGGTTTGGTGGGTTCCGTGTGTTTGTGAGTTCGTTTGCCGAATCCTCTCGGACGACCCCAACCTCCCCACTCACCGCCCACCCCTTCTTCTCTCCAATGTAACAGTTAAGGAGACATACCGCACGGTAGTGTGTCTGCACGGTCCGGGGCCCCGAAACCACAAAACGAACTAGCAGCGATCCGTCCTGTGCATCCAGAAGGTCTCAGGGGCAGATTCGGTCAATGGGCCGGCCAATGGGCCGATGTTTCAGGTAGCCCCTAGTTGGTGGTTTGGGTTGGGGATGTGAACCCCTAGTACTTGTAGATGGGTTTGAACCAATCAAGCTCCAAAACGCCAAGCCACCAAGCGGGGAGCTGAGAAGCCGAACATGGGCCATCTTAGGTGGTTCCACCTGGTTCATGGAGGTGTCGTGGGTCATTTTTGGAGGGAACCCTTTTTTGGGCTTGCTTTAAAGGGAAGCAACTTTTTTGGAGGTTCCCCCTCCCCCCATTTTGATACGATCCGATATAAGCCTCACCATCTTGGTAGAACCAACAGTTGAAAAACGGGCTCTGCCACTGCTCGAACGTCCCCCTGAAAAGGGAAACCAAAGGGTTGTTTAAACTATTTGTTCAGCATGTTTAAACAAGGGCATTGCCCTTTGAGAGGGGAACCAAACGTGTCTTGGTCGACATTGGCCCTTTTTCCGTTTCAGTTTGTTGAAGGACGAAGGTAACACCAAGACCAGCTTTTTGGCAACCTCCCCAAAGGAAGCTGGGAAAGAATGTGTTGTTTTTTTTTTTGTTTTTTCCTTTGCATAACTGGCTGTTGGTCAAAACCAGTGGTACTATTTTGGGGTAGGTGCACCACCCATTTTAGTCTATTTTAGCGGGGATTGGGATGTTCACTGGGAGTACGGGATTTGGACCCATGGCCAAATAGCGACCTGAAGAAGGATAGGGTTGTTAGCACGTACATAATTTTGTTATATATTGCCCTTTCCATAGCCGGTCACACCATGTATTCCAAGTTCCGGCCAAAAAAGACAGCTCCATATGTTAGCAACCCAATCCCCAAATCCCGCCGATGGTGCGATTTTCGGCTTGTTAAACGAATCCCCTTTGGGGGGTGCCGTCTTTTTGGATTTGAGGGTTGTTGTCAAGGGCCATTTTCGGGAATCCTGCACCCAGGATCGATACCACACCAGGGCGCATTGGCACGAACCACTCACCAACTGGCACGTGTTTTGTTCATCCACGGGGTTTGTCGTGGACCTCCAAGAGTTTCAGTGGAACCCAGCAAGTTGCCACAGGGCCCCAAAAAAAGAGATAGAGACATTTTGCAACCATTTGAAACATGTTGCTTTTTCACCACCAAAATAAAGTTGGAAACCACCATTTACAAGTTGCAATGTTCAGGTGTATAATGTAAGCATTAGAATGGGGAATCCCGCTGTATAGAGTGCAAGAATCGCAGTGTGCTAACTGTGCCATTTGGATGGGTATCCTAACTGATTGTTACTCACTACTGTGGATTGAAGATATCCTGTACCACCTAAGATTTGCTGGAATGATTCGACTCCCCTGTAAATACCAACAAGCAATGGTCTCCAATGGTTTCAAAGCGGCGCGAAATGGATTTCGACCATCCGCAGTATGATAGTTTAAAGCGAGTTCACACAGACGTCCCAATCAAAAGCGCTTCAGGGAAACCCGGTGGTGCGGACGAAGCCGCGGCCCAAGGTCTATGACCCAGCACCTCGGCAAGGAAGCGGGGTCTTTCTCCACTTGAGAGTACCCCGGTGTTGTGAAGGGTTCAAAGGGAAACCAAAAGGTAGGTACACCTTTTGGGATGTGGCAAAAGAAGAGCCAAAGACATACCCTCCTGGCTCCAGACGTGTGTTCTTTCGCCTTATTTCAGACCAAAAAGGGTGCCATTTGGGCATTTCCATGGCCGCAAGATCATGCTATAATTTTGAGAGTTGGAACCAACTCACAAGTGGTCCTCGATTTCTGATTGTCCACCCAAAAGAAAGGTCCCCCCGAAACATATGTCCTATACTGGGGCATGGACACTCGGCCTTTTTTTTTTTTATATAGCAGATACCCCCCCAAAAAAGACCCGTACCCTCAACCAGAGGGTTTTCGCCATGGAGATGGGACAACACAAAATCCACATTCGCACCTAAGGGAGCCCCACGTGGTTTCGACGAGACAAGACCTTGGCGCACATCCGCTTGCTTACTGTAGGCCGTTCAAAATCGTTCACAGCTGACTCCGCCGGATTCTCTTTCCGCCAGCACGAGGGTAGTTTTTGAGGATGTCACCTTGGTCCGACCTGCGGTGTTGGAATTCTATCGGGAAGGATTTGAGGGCCTAAATGATTACTAGTCCAATCCTGCCACGACAATATACATAGGACACCCAAATCCACTTCTACTTATTTACCCTCAGTTGCAGTGCCTTCAGATCATGGGGCTGTTAGGGGGGTGCATGGGGGGTTGTATGGGGGGGGTCTATGCCAGGATAAGCCCAAGCTGGGGCCCTGATTCTGTTGAATATGTTCATATAACTTTGGGCCCCTCAGTTGATCTTCCAGGAAACCGCTGCCCAGGTTGAGTGTTTTTCTTCAAATAGCAACCTCCCTTTGTGCGAGTTGCCTGTTCCTTTCGCCGACACATTTCTTTCGCTGGCATCCATTCCTCTGCCTTCTGACGGCATTCCCGGCCTTTTTATCTGGTGCTCTCTTCCAACCCATCCCACTTCCCAGTTTCTGAGAAGTTTTTTCGGCGTTTTTGTTTGTTTGATTAAACGCGTCTTCACGGACGTGTCAAATGTGTTCAACCCCCACGAAACCAAGGGCTTTCTTTCAAATGAGCCATCAAAGCCCGTGTAGATGAAGGGCTATGGGATCATCCCAGCCATAAATGGGTGCAGCCGCCTTTCTATTTGTTTTCTTCATGGTTCTGTCATTTTAAACCAGGTTCTTATTATAACTCAAATGCTGACAATTGGGGGTGTCATTCTTTGAGGTTTCCCTTTTTGCGGCTGGTTTTGAAGCCATCTGTTTGGAGGGTTCCAAACCCTATTTTGAGACCGCGACTGAGTATTTGGGGGCGGAATCAAACAAGGCAGGGAGGCGTACCACGCCCAGGACCCTTCCGATCTCGCATACGCCAGGGACCATAGATTGCTTGGGAATAAAGCCCAGCAAAGGGAGAGAACCATAATCATTTGCTCCTTCATCCTTTTGAGACTACCACTTACATAGTAATTGGTTTGATAGGCGGTTTGTCCCAGTTATTGGTAACCAACCCTTTGGAAGCACGGGTAAAGGCTTACCCTCAGCATGGCACCCGACTCTGAGGAAGCTCATCTTCCAAGTTGTTGGTGCTATGTCAAGGGGGGCATGTGTCGCATGTCTTGGGGTGGGAAAGGTCAAGGCATATGCCGCATGCCTCTTCCCAAACGTTCGCGAGGAGAAGGAACGCATGAAGAGAGCCCTGAGGCTGGGGGAGGGGGGAGCGGCGTGTCCAGACCTTTTGATTCATAATTTGGATGACCTTTTGATTCATTTCTGTACGAAATGGGCAACCAATGCTACACACATGGCTGGTGGCAAGCTGGCTTTAGACCACCATAGAATCCGTGGTCTTTAGTGTGAAATGGGCTATGTCGGACCCTGGTCCCAGCAAGGTTAAGCCATGGAAAAAGTTTGTCGAGCCGCAGGCCGCCGATGCCCTTCAATCCGGAGAAGGAGCGCCTGAAGCGTCTCTTGCGGAACCAGGTCTCCGAGTAGCTCATTGGAGAGCTTGGTGGATCCATGGGACCACTCAATTCATGTTTCAGTTCTTGGACCCTAAGAACTACTTGTTTATATTTGTTTCACTCTTCTTTTCAGTTCCTTATATTTGTTTTTGGGTTTCCTCCACGTATGTATGGGTGGAACAACCACAGCATATCTGTTTATTTATATACACGTGTGTATATAGATTTCTTGGATGACCACGGACGGTGCTGGATGGTGCCAGATGGTGCGGATCGTGTCGGGCGGGAGGTCGCCAAAGTGGAGCTTGATCCTGTCCGCAAAAAGCGGCAGTCAGATATTCGGCACGCTCACTGGCTCAAAGCAACCGGCCATTTGACCCTTCGGTTTTCCAAGGTTGGTCTGTTTTTGGTCAAGGCCGCACAACTAAGCCCACATGAGAGAGTGGTCGACCCAATTTTGATGAACCTTTTAGGCAATCAATGGTGGTTGTGTTAACGCCCATTGTGTTACTGGTGAATTGAATTTTAAAATAAGCATGTCATATCTTTTTCCTGGCAAGTGAGGATTGCATTGGTCTGGGCCAAGTATAGAAACCTCATGAGGAAAGCATGCGACCGCACCGGTCGGGGTCCCTTCAGATTTGATTTCGGTGAATCATTACGATTCACACAGAATAGTGGTTCGGACGAAATCCATCGTCCACAGACAATATGAAGGCCCGCAATCAATCGAGAAGCTTCCAACGTGTGTTATTGCAGGCTTGCAATTGAGGTGAGCCACTTTCGCCATCGGTACACTTATCCGTCATTTTTGTTCATATTTGTGCATAGGTGTGATCCCATCATTCTTTTGTTATTTCCTGGATTTATTCATTGATCCAGTATTCCATTTGTCCATGCTTGCACGCACCCAGCCACTCCGCCATGCATCAATGTCAAAAGTACATCTTTTCATTATTTTCTTTGTCATTCCGTTCTTGAATACTTCAATGGCTTTTCTTTCCGTTGTACTGTGTTTGCATTTCTTTCTGTCTGTCTTTCTGCCTGTCTTATTTCTGTCTTCCCGTTCTTTCCTTTCCTTTTCGTTTTCTCTTCCTTTCCTTTTCCTTGTCTCTTCCTTTCCTTGCCTTTTCTCTTTCCTTTTCATTCTTCCTTTCTTCCTTTCTTCCTTTCTTCCTTTCTTCCTTTCTTCCTTTCTTCCTTTCTTCCTTTCTTCCTTTCTTCCTTTCTTCCTTTCTTCCTTTCTTCCTTTCTTCCTTTCTTCCTTTCTTCCTTTCTTCCTTTCTTCCTTTCTTGCTTGCTTCTGCCATTATTCCATTATTTTTTCTTCTTCCTTCCTTTCTTCCTTTCTTGCTTTTTTCTATTCTTTTTGTTCTTTTCCTTCCTTCCTTCCTTCCTTCCTTCCTTCCTTTCTTTCCTTCTTTCCTTCTTTCCTTCCTTCCTTTCTTTCCTTCTTTCCTTCTTTCGTTCTTTCCTTCTTTCCTTCTTTCCTTCTTTCTTTCCTTCTTTCTTTCTTTCTTTCTTTCTTTCTTTCTTTCTTTCTTTCTTTTTCTCTCTCTTTCTCTCTTATCTTTTTTTCTTGATTATATCTGAACATTATCTTAACCAGCCCTGAACCTTCTTTTGTTTTACGTTCTGCTAGTTGTTCCTTCTTTCTCTTAACGTTCTGTGAACTTTCTCCGCACTTTCCTTGTTTCTTTTCTGCCTCCCTAGTTGTTTCTTTGCTGCCTTGCTTCCTTGGTTCAATCCCATACCGTCTGCAGCACGAAGCCATGGCGTTTGGCACCGCCTCTTCCGGTGCCTTTTGGCTCCTTGCGAGAGATTCACAAGGAACAGCTGGGGAGCCCATGGAGACGCGCAGATATTTTTTTTAAAAGCCTGAGCAGAACCGACGCATTCAGAGCCTTCGGCGGAAAGAACTCAGCCGTTTTCGGCGCGTTTTTGAGCCGGCCCTGGCCTGGGGCTTTGGGGCGGCAAAGCGGCGCCCAAGATGTCAGGTGCGGGGCCTAGTTCGCGCGGGGTTCTTTCGCCGTTCGCAGACTTTTGGAGGCGTAAAGCAACGGGCTGTGGCCTGTTTCGAGGGTTCTCCTTTTCAGGTTGGTGAAAAGGAACTATTTGAGGGGCTTGCCGCTGGCCCCTTTTAAGAGCCCAAAATGGGGAGGATGGTGCGTTTTTTGTGTGCTCGAAGCTTGGGCCTTTTTTTACCTTTTGCCCCCCAAAAAGAATCCAACTTGAAACGTGGAGCCCCTGGGGCCGCTGCCCTTGGGTTGATCTCACCTGGGGATCGATGCGAGGCCCTGGAAGGGTCGGGCTCTCGGAGGAGCCCAAATCGGCAGAGGGAGGGGGCGGGCTCCTTGGCAAGGCCCGACAAAAAGAACGCAGCGCTCCCATGTGATGTGTAGAGCTTGGGAACAAACCAACTCTGGCGGGATCCTCAAAAAAGCTTAGCAGGCGGTATTGCTCCTGGCTTTGCAACCTGGGCGAGGCAGGTGGTTTTCAATCGAACGAAAGGATTTTTCTTCCCATGACCATTATGATACCCACCCTGCAAGTCATTGTGCAATAAAAGGGCTTTTCCTGTGGCGAAAAGGCAGATGCTCTATGGAGGGGGTCCACAATTATTTGCGGTGAGGACTGTGATGCAGGTACATTTTACATATTTAGCTGACGGGTCCTGAAAAACTGTCTTTGTCGGCGACCTTTGTTACTTGGTTTCGAGAACCTCATTCTGAGTGTGTCTAATCTTGACTTGAAAAAAAATCGTGATGATCAGATTTCTCCCATGAAGCTTCACAACCAGTGTTGCTGAAAAGGCACTGAGGAAACGTCGGTGGTTTCTCAGATTCGTCTTCTTTGCAGGCTTGGCCAAGCAGCCAAAGGAATTTGAGTGGTTTCCCAAAATGATGAGCGTGAAACGAATGGTGGGGCCAGCCTTTCGCGAGTCGAACCCACGGATCGGTATGAATCGGTATAAGTCAGCATCATATGAGCGACAGGCAAATTGTCCGGTAATCCAGTACGTACCCCAATATTTCTGGAGGGGAATACTGCATTCCCTAGGTTAATCACGTTGTTCTGCAACCCACGGCATCTTTTGCTCGTGGTTCTTTTGAGCCTGGCAACGCAGCGTCGACAATTGCTTGTTTCCCCCCACAGAATTGAGACGAAATACTTTTCTCTGACTCTTTCCTTTCCCTGGCTTCATTTTGTACAAGACAGCATGCTTGACTGCTCATCCAACTTGAGATACTGTTCAATCCGTCTCATATGCACATCATCAACACACTTCTCAAATCGATGGACATACTCTTCAGTGCTATCACTTCCAACTTTCTCCAGAGATGAAGAGAGACAATCCGGAAGAGGGGGTCCTTCCATCGTTTTTGGGCGTTTTCCTCTCAACACAACGTCTTGCCTGGCTCCACGTGGGGAGTATATGGCGGATGACAGAAATAGAAAGGGAGCGGTGAATGGGTCCCTTCTCTTCCCATTCTCCTTCTTTTCCTATCATCTCGTGCTTCAATCTCATGCACGAGAAACAGAGAATATATGGTGGACGAACGAAGGATGAGTGAGGAGACGGAATGAAACTGATGGGAAAAGAGATAGAATCCTTTTCATCTTTCATTCCTCCTCCTCTGACCACTCTATCTCCTCATGCTTACGTACGTACGTACACGCACAAGCACACGCACACGCACACGCACACACGCACATGCACACGCACACGCAGACGCACACGCACACGCACACCCACACCCACACGCACACGCACACGCACACGCACACGCACACGCCCACGCCCACGCCCACGCCCACGCACCCACACGCACACGCACACGCACACGCACACGTGCACATGCACGCGCACCCGCGCACCCGCACACGCACACGCACACGCACACGCACACGCACGCGCACACGCGCACGCACACGCGCACGCGCACGCGCACGCGCACGCACACGCACACGCGCACGCGCACGCACACGCACACGCACACGCACACGCACACGCACACGCGCACGCGCACGCGCACGCGCACGCGCACGCACACGCACACGCACACGAGCACGAGCACGCGCACGCGCACGCGCACGCGCGCGCGCGCGCGCCCGCGCGCCCTGCGCCCCCGCGCGCGCCCGCGCCCGCGCGCCCGCGCGCCCGCGCGCCCCCGCGCCCCCGCGCCCCCGCGCCCCCGCGCCCGCGCCCGCGCGCACGCTCGCGCGCGCCCGCGGCGCACGCGCGCACACGCACACGCACACGCACACGCACACGCACACGCACACGCACACGCACACGCACACGCACACGCACACGCACACGCACACGCACACGCACACGCACACGCACACGCACACGCACACGCACACGCACATGCACATGCACATGCACATGCACATGCACATGCACATGCACATGCACATGCACATGCACACGCACGCATGCAAACACAAACGAACGCAACAAACACAGACGCACACACGCGCACACATTCGGACACTCGCGCCCAAACGCACAAACCCGAAAAACACACACACAAAGCAACCACCAACAACCGAGCAAGCAGGCAAGCCAGCAAGCAGGCAGGCTTGCAGGCAGGCAGGCAGGCAGAGACGGCCGGACGGACGGACGGACAGACCGACACAGAGACAGAGACAGAGACAGAAGCGGAGACAGAGGCGGAGACAGAGGCGGAGACAGAGGCGGAGACAGAGGTGGAGACAGAGAGCCAGCAAGCAGGCAAGACAAGCAAGCAAGCAAGCAAGCAAGCAAGCAACCAGACAGGCAAGACAGCAGCAGACACAAGGAGACAAGCAGACAAGGAGGCAGACAGGCAGACAGATTGAGACATGAAATAGACAAACTGATAGACAGACTATCAAGCAGATAGACAGTAACAAGCAAATAGACAGACGGACGGACAGAAGCAGACAAAAACAGACAAACAAGCAGACTGACAGACAGATGGACAGACGGACAGACGGACAGACGGACAGACGAACAGACAGGCAGATAAACAAACAAGCAGACAAACGCTAGTCCAAGTTGAGAAGGGCACACTTCGAGCAGCAGCTGGGCGTGTTAAGGGTGGACACTGCTTCATAAGTGTAGGACCACGCTGGTTTCCAGTTTGAGGTGTGGGCTAAGTGGTTCGAGGTGTGGAAAGGATGTTCGAAGTGGGCTGTTCTAACTGCGGAAGCTGACCGGCATTCCACTTGTAAGTGTTGAAATGAAACCACGCACTCAGAACTCCTAGCCACGTTTTTTGAGTTGTAGTTCCAGCCAGAGTTCCTTAGCACAACATTTTCTCCATGTTCCTCTTGCAAGTTGAAAGCTGGGAGCCGACAAATCTGACCCTGGCGACTGATTCGACATGACCCGATCCGGCAGGACCGGACGATGTTCATTGGACAACTTGCTGGGAGTCAATAGGTTTTTGGAACGAGCCTGCGACTTTGTTCCACGGAAGCCACAAATAATGTTTCTCGGGGTCGTTCCCTCACTCCCTAGCTAGAACTGGCAAGAAAAGGGATTCCTTTGCCCCCAATCCCCAATCAGTACGGCTAGGCTTGTTCTTTTAGTGGAACCCTTTGGGTTGTTTTTCAATAGGAGACCAAAAAGGAGCTCATCATTCGAGTCCCCGATTTTAGAGACACAGGCTTCCTTTAGAGTCCGACCTCGAATCCGTCGAGTTGGAGCCTTGCGGCTTAGGATAAGAACGTGTGGGGCTACTCCTCCAATGGCCAGGCCGGGAAGTGAGGAGTAGAATGGTCGGAAGAAATTGAATGGGGTTTCGGGGTTTTTGGGGTTGGGGTCTTGGAGCTTTGGGTCTTTGAGTTGTGGGATTTTTGAAGTTTTGGGTCCATCGCAGCTATTGCAATTAGACCAAAGAGCCGCAGCATCATGAAAGATAGCCCCTTACTGAAAAGAAACAAAAACACCTTCCCCCCCAGTCTTGCGCAATTCCTGGCGGGGAATTGCCAGGTATTGGGAGTGTTTGGGATCTTGAGGGAAACTGCGCATGATTGTTTGTAGGGTTGATTCATCCGAGCTTTCTGCAAATAGCGTTAGCCATAGGGGGTTCTTACTTCTAAAGGGGCTTCTTTGAAAGGGGCACGGGTTTGAGAGGGGTTTCTGAGTTCCTTACTTTGGGATCTGGGTATGGGTCAAAATTAAACCACCAGAAAACCGGAGGTTTAGTCCAGGTTTCCATTTACCAAGGCAAGCCATTTTGGGTACCGATTGACCCACAGCCATCTTATTGCACTTGTGGAAGCTTTGGCGTTCAACGGCCGCGAAGGATGCCGATGAATTCAACGCCGCGGAGGCGGCGGGGCGGCGGGGATGTGGGATGCGTCCAAAAAGCGAACTCAGCGAGTGAGGCCAACGAGGTGTGGAGAGCGGGTGCCTTCCATTTGGGACTGAATTTCAATTAAGGACCCTTTAGTGGACTTTTTGGACAATGCGTTTCACTGAACAAACAGAAAGTCCTGTGTCGAGGTGGACTAGGCATGACACAGAACATGAACACATTCTGTGCTCTGTTGCTCTTCGGGTAACAGGGGTTAGAGGCTATTCTGCAGCCAAGAACCCCAACACAAACAATATCCTACAGGAAGGAGATTGCAAAATACACCCTAAGCGTCCACCACACAGCAAAGAGCGGAATGCGGGAGGACACTGCAACGCTGAAAACTGAAGCGATTCCAATAAGGTTCTGGGCTCCTTTGTCAGTTGACTATTTAGCGACCCTGCACAGGCTCCCTTTTGCAATATGCGGTCCTTTGGAGTTGCCACGTGTTTAAGGGGCAAGAGGTTCCCTCCCCGGTTGAAGGAGGTGTCTTGGAGCTCAGCCGAGCCTGCCCAGCACCCAGAACCCATATTGGCAATGTCACAGAATCGTTCTGCTACCTGCATTTCTCGAGGTTTTCGTAAAGCCTAAAATAAGCCATTTGTACGCATGTCAGCAGATTCAAGTGTTAATTTGTCCTGGGTGCCAACATAAACCCAAGCCGACACAGCCGTTGGACCTCGATGGATCCTCTGGACAAGGTTGCCCCGCTCTGTTTTTTTTTTTTGTTTTTGGCGGTCGGCGAACGGGACACCACTGGTGTCAAACAATCGTAATCTCCTGAAGAAAAATGGGCTCGCAGTTTACTTCCCCACACAACGACATGCAATAAGGGCACAAGTAATGAGAATGCCAGGTGCGGAGGGAAGCGAAGACCCTTATTTTGACACATGGCTGTGGCGCACTAACATGTACCCATGCCAACTTTGCCCATGTGGTTGACATGGGCTTCCTTTTAGTGGTTGCAACCCTTTTGAGACATACCCAAAGACTTCGATCGACGTTTTTCCAGGCGGACAAGGGCTTCGGGCCTCCCAGCGCCCAGGAGCCGGATCTGGCGGGTTTTGCGAGCCCCACACGTGCTGAATCAACCTGTCGTTTGCTCTTTTCTCGGGTAAGCCGGGATTGCATGTAGGATTTTGTTTGCACTTTCCTGGGTCATTTCGGAGGTGCTGAGCTCGTGATGCTGAGGATGCAAGAACGATGCACAGGCTGCTGGACGCATCACCCCCCTCGTATGAAAGGATATAGTCTATGGCGGACGAGCGTCTGGGAATCACCTTGTAGCAAGTGCGGAAAAAAAACACGTTTCTTGTGTCCAACATGCCATTTGATTTGGAGCAACCACGAGAATTTCGGGGCATTTCATTTCAGTTCGCGTCGCGTTGATAGAAAGCTGCGCCTTTTCTTGGCACGGCTTGCAGCGCGGCAGCGGCAGGCATTCCCGTGGCACTACGAGAACCCTACACACGAAAATATTGGGGCAAAAGCGCCCTTCAAAAGACTAACTTGAGGTTGCTACGTACCGTGGATGGACAAATTCCGGCACCAGCCGGGATTGATGAAGCCTCTACTGTGCCTGGTGCGTTTTGCGGATGTTGTTCGTCCACAGGGGTCCCTCAATTTTCCTGGTATAGGGACAGGGACCTTTCAAGCATCAAAAGAATGGCAAGGGCCCAATTTAGATCATGAAACCTCTGAACGGCAAACAGTGGTTATATATATAATATTATATATATATATATATTGTATACATATATGTAATATATATATATATATAGATATACATATATATATATATATTTTGGTTTTGAATATGCTTCAAGCCAAATAAGTACAAAGGACGTCACTCATCTCTCACCCAGCTTTATCCTGGGTCGCAGGAGCTGGCCTCCAAGGCGCCCGGCGCCGGCCGCGCCCAGGCGCGCTGCTTCGATGCGACTTGTGGTGGGGGTCGGCTTGGGGATGTCTGGGCAGACCGTAGACCCATAGACCCGGTCCCTTGGTGGGGATCCATAGACCATCCCCCCCCCCCCCACTCAAACCCTATCCCCCCTTGTGATTGAAGCAGACCCACAGACCATAGACCCATAGACCCATAGATCATATCCTGTGATTGAAGCAGACCCATAGGCCCATAGACCTGGTTGGGGATGCAAGGAGCCAAAGAAGCGCGGAAGGAGTGGCCAATCAACCGCTTGCGCAAAAAACAACGCGTCCCTGTGGATCACCCAGGAGGCGTGGCGTTCTTGAAATCTAGGGACTTCCCCATACTTTCTGGCAAACCTTGCAAAACCAAAGGAACAACAGTTGAGCCACGTGCTCAAAACCCGGGTAGATGAAGGTTAGTAAGGGGCAGTCCCAGCCGGAAATGGTTGCGGATATCCGCCTTTCTAATTCTTTACATGGTTCTGGGTTCATCATTTTTGTACCAGGTTTTGATTGTGACTCAGTTGGCGGTTGAAAATTACACCAGCGTCGACCCCAGATAGCAGTGGCCCTCGTGTGCCACAGTCTAGGCGCCCACACGTACCGCCCACATAAGGTCCCATGTGCGCCGCTTCGCGTGTACCTCCTGTGCAGAGTTGACCCAAGTGAGCCAAATGACCCACATTGCCTGCCTGGATATGTGGCGACCGGGTGCCAAGATGCAGACCCAGCGTCTGGCGCATTTGCGTTCTTTGTGGCAGGCGGTGGAGCGAGTCTGCGTCTTCCAGATTTAGAAAGTGCTAGAGGAGCAACGCTGCCTCGCGGCGCCTGCCAGAAAGTCTGTTTGTCAGACAGGGACTTGGGGATACCGCCGTGCCGCAACAGGCCCTCTGGTCTGTACCACCAGGTGCTCGTTTAAGATAAAGACCTTCCGGCTTCGTAGCAGGTGGCCACAGATCAAAAGGCCTGCGCTTGGGAATGCAGACTTGCCCTCTTCGCCGCCGGCCCCTTTTTGCGGCAGAGCGAATCTGCATCCCCAAGACCTCTGAGAGACTGACTTTCCGGAGCTGGTCCCTGTGGCTTCCCTTTGAACCAAACCTCTCGGTTTCCTCGGCAAACGCAGACGCACAACTCGAGACGTGGACTATGATGTGAGCATCTACATCTCCAGGGGCCCCTCGAACACCACCCATCGCGCACCAGGAGAAAGGACACCAGGTGGGTATGGGTCAAAGAATGAAACCACCAGGAGAGGAACCGCAGGTTTTTGGGTCCATGCTTCCACTTGCCAGGATTCCATTTTGGGGTTACCCTATTTTTGACCCACCGCCGTGTTGGTTTTGGTTTCCACGGAGCCAACACACATCCCAAGGGGAGCATTTCGGGTTCCCAAGCCTACTGTTGGGTCCCGACTTCCCGCCATGTACAGCGGGGTGACAGGAGGTGCAATTCCCAAATTGCACCTACACAGTTTCGTCATGTTCTTCACCCCAAACTTTGCGGAACTCATGGCATCTACTGTTGCTCCCAAAGTTGTCAGGGGCCCCTAGGCCCCAGAGCCCTGTTAGCCCCGGTCGCAATTGGCACCCAGGATTGGGGGGGGGATGGGGGGCAGGGTGGGAGGGAGGGGGGCCCTTGACAACCATAGGATTTGGACTTGGCTCTGATGTCCGGTCGGACCCACCGGAGCCTGGCCACAGGCGGATATGGCGGGCTACGCCCAGCAGCGCTGGACAGGGTTGGGGCTTCGACAGATGGATCTGCGGTGGGGTGAGAGTAATGTCCCCAGCATAGCTGTCCTTTTTGGTTGTTTTGCTAGAAAAATAGATGGTCCTGGTTTACCTGGTGGTTTAATCGTCTACCAGGGCCATCTATTTCAGCTAAAAGGACACCTATGGTCCCCAGATTCATCAACCCCTGTTCATTGACATAGGGGTGTCCCTGGTTTCAGTGGGGATGTATCACATTTGGAGAGGAACACCCCCATATCAATAAACAGGGGTTGTTAATCATGATTCACCGAGCCTGCCAGTTCATTGCTGCGGCGTTTTTTCCTTTTGTTGGGCGAGGACATCGGGCCGAAGATGGAACCCCCTCGCGCCAAATCCAAGTTGGGGCCCGGGGAAAGCGCTCGATTTTGTAGCACTTAGGTTGTGGATGCAAATCCGAACAAACGTCTGGGTGGTAGTGGTTTGTTGCGCGGCAAATGGGTCAAGCTGGACACTTGACTTGAACAAGGGTTGATGCATTTTTGTGGGTAGTGCAAACCATAGACTGAAGTGCCTTCATTCTCCGAGTGGATTGGATGCGCCATTGGACTTGCCAAGGAGGCAATCCTGTTGGCCAACGCCGCTTGCGCTCCCACCAACAAACCATGGAAGTGCAAAAGGAGAGTGGTATTCTAAAGGCATTTGCGCACTTCCATGTTTGTTAGTGGGAGGGTATGTGGGGTTCGTTCTAATCCCGTTAATCAAGACTAGTCGGGAGGAACTTGATTTGGTTTGCATCATTCTTGTGTCGCGCAAGAAGGCGCCAGGGCTGGCGCAAGGTTTCATTAGGTTTGACCTTCCTTTGAGCAAACATATTTGTTCTTATTCAAGCTCTGGGACAAGACCTGCGAAGCATGCGTATGTATAAGCAAGATCTGCCTAGCAGCAGGCTGACGCAAGTGTTTTTGCAGCTGTCTGGCCCGAACTGGTAATCCATGGTAGGGTGGAAGGTTTGGAGACGGTTCAGGCGCAAAATTAAGCCGCAAGGTTGCCGCCAGGTCCACAAGGCCTACCCCGTAATGAACTTGTACTGAAAAGACGCAACTTTCGAGCCGGAGCTGCCAAAGTGCGCTTTGTATACTACACGTGTGCATCGTGAAATGAAGCCTGCGCTGCATATGTTCTAAGCCGACTTGCCATGTTGCCATGGCTGCACGGGCAAGCCACAAGAAAATGCAAATGTTGCAAAGCGTTGGGTGCGCAAGAAATCGCAAGGGTGGGCGCAAGGTGCCACAAATACAAGGGCGATCACTGGGGTTTGGAACATTCCCGGACCTATCCAGTTGGCCAACGGCAGTGGTGAGTACTTCTCAAAGGGTGTCAAAAGGAAATCGACAAGCGGAACGAGTCACGGGAAAGCGAAGGAGACCAGAAACCAATACCGACAGTATGCAACCATGATCCGAACTATGTGGACGCATTCCTTACGTTTTAGCCTGTTTTCATTCGGTCAGCCAAGCGACAACCCTCACCTTCAGGTTTGTTTTGTGGTTGGTCAAAATCATTTTCCGTTGCTCAGCGCTCAAGCCACTCAGACCGCCAAATCTCGATACACATGTACGTATGTGTGTTTGTGTATGTACCTATGACAAGGTTCAGGTATTTTGATTGGCGTCTACGGTACTTCTGAGCATTTGGGATGCTGTCTTTCTGCTTGCTCACACTTCATCCCTGAACCTTGAATCATCCGACATCCAGATTCATCTAGGCTAATGCCAGTTTGTGAGCAGTCCTAGGCCCAGGATTCAAGGTTTCTAACCGCACTTTTCTGGGAGATCTTGAATCCACAAAACTCTGGAGATTTCCTTGGCACAGAGCAGACGCCTGATTTTAGCTCGCAACTTGCCCGGACAACTTTTCGGCATTCAGCCTAAACAACTCTCAAGCTCAAGACTCCTCGAGCTCAGGCTGACAAAGCTCGGGCAAAATACCAGTAGACACTCAATTTGGCAGTGATGAGGGCACTCATCAAGCTTACAAAGCAGCCTTTGACACTACAGCCTTTCTTGTTGAACAATTGCTTGCCTCGAGCATTGCTAGAAGGCGACGCAAGATCAGATCAACTGCATGACGAAACTTCAACACCATGCTGGGTGTGGTTTCTGTGATCAACTCTTGACATTGGAGAAAGTTCCTCTACACCACCAGTTCTGACAGACCACCAGCAGAATTTCGCAAGGACTATTACCAGAACCAGCGGTTTTCAGCCTCAAATGCCCCAAAATCAAATGGTTCCCTTTTGGTTCCCCTTTAAATGCACCAAGCAGCGGGGAAGGCCATTTTGCGAACCCACGGGAGGGCTTCGCAGGCCATCCTGGGGTTCGATCAGCGCTCAGTCCCCCCTTGATATATATATATATATACACGTATATATATATATATGTATTGAATACATAAACATTATATATATATATTAAATACTCACATGTCTACATGTACACACCTGCCTTTTGACGCATGATTTAATCGCATTTGGCTACCATTCTTCTTTTTGCCTTTTCGGGGCTCCAAATAGTCTCATTTGTGAAAAAACTGGTCAACACATGCGTTGGGATTGGTAGGGATATTCGAATGCCAGTCTTTGGGATTCCGATGGTAACCCACAGAACAAGAATTACGACCATGGCACAGGCTTAAAGAAGGCAGGGTTTAGACGCGTTGCGGTTTCTGGGTTCAAACCAAGGGTAACCACCTTTTCAGTCATGATGAATAGGTCCTTTAGAGATGACCAGTAGTCAAAGCCACCCCAAAAGGACTTTGCACACGGGCACAAATTTCCCATGGTTATTTGGGTATGGGTGAAAATTAAACCACCAGGGGACCGCAGGGTTTAGTCCCTGTTTCCATTTGCTAGGGTTTTATTTGGGGTACCCATTTTTGACCCACACCCATTTGAGGGCCAGGCATATTGATCTCTCGAACGTGTCTGCGAGGACGCCCATGAACGGTGTGCCGGTGCCGGCTGCGCCTTTTCTGGAAATGTGATCAGGGGTGGTTGTCACGCGGCTCTTTTTTTTTTGAGGGTACCCTTTTTCTGGTTCGTTTTAAAGGGGCCCAAAAGGGAAGCCATCATTTTGGGTGGCCCCCAATTTTGTCACACGGCTCTTTGTCTTTGGGAGTACCTCTTCTCTGGTTGGATGCAAAGGGACTCCGAAAGGAGACCCCCACCATTTTTTGGGGGTTCCTGGTTGTATGACACACCCACTTGGCTCTTTGTGTGATTGACACACGCCCGAAGAATTTTAGCAGTGCTTCCAAAGGGGGCAATTTTGCTAAGGTGGTCTGCCTGGTCTTATGGTGGTTGCAGTGAGCCTCATCTAAACCTTTTAGAACCAACTTGGTAGAATCGAACATTCACTAGGTTTTGGGCACTGCTCACATGGAACCTGGCTTCCCGGTGGGCGAGAGATGTCTTGGGAGGAATGCCTGCGATGGTAGTTCACCCTCTCACCCAACTGAATGCAGTGAACCTCCGAGTGAACCTCCCTCAGTGAACCTCCCTCAGTGAACCTCCCTCAGTGAACCTCCCTCAGTGAACCTCCCTCAGTGAACCTCCCTCAGTGAACCTCCCTCAGTGAACCTCCCTCAGTGAACCTCCCTCAGTGAACCTCCCAGTGAACCCCCCTCATCACAATCCCTCTTCAACCCGGTAACGCGAAGTAGCCTCCTCAGCGATTGCCTCATCGCTCGGCTCTCACTCCCGCGGCCCATCGCAGTTGCCAACAAAGCTGATTAAACGCGCCCGAACGCCAGTTGTTTAAACTTCCCAATCGGCATGTGCGGGATGATCTGTCTTGTGTGCAAGGACAAGACTGTGGGTGTTGGTTGGGGACGGGTTTAGCTCGGGCTGACCTGCGGGTGAAGATGGCTGAACTCTTGATGATAGCTTAAATAATAATTGAAAAAAGAAACAACAGAGGTCCGCAGTGCGGTCCTTTATGTTCTATCTGAGGCCCTTTGAACCCGTTTTAGATCATCCAAAAGTTGGCTAGTACCCCCCAGTTCCTGAAAAAGGGGGGTGGAGGCCAAAACACCCCCCTGCTGCTTTCCGTTTCGCGTGTTTTCTTCTGGGCTTGAGGTGCCGCCCGGCCTGGACTCGCCGGGGGCCCTCAAAGCCCACGTGGCCCTCAGAAACGGCCCATGTGGATGGAGGAAATTCGCACCACGAAAGGAAACCATAATTGAAACCAGAACGTGTGTTGGTATTTACAGTTTTCTTTTTTTTTTGGCTTTCTTGGGTGGTGCGATTTCGCCGGATTTCGCGTCCATCCACAGTATGGGCCGTGACAATTGACCCCTGGACTCGGGGTTGCGAGGGATGGTCATCCACCTGGTAGAAGAACCATGATTTTTTAGTACGGGAACCATTGGGCCACAGGCCATAAAAGGTTGACAACATGGCACCTGCACTTTTGACCATTCAAAAGTGGGGCCCAATTTGTGACGCACTCCCTTTTGGCCCGACCACTTTTGGGTTTCCGGCATTTTTCCTTGAAGCCATCAACAAGTTAGCCATTTCTCAGGTCGTCAAAGCCTCCTTTTTGGGATATCCCGCCCTTTTCAAGGCGGCACGGAGTTTTTTTGCCCTCGGGCCCCAGCAGAAGTCGTGGAATCGAACAAACAAACTGGCTATTTTGGTCTCCCAATTTCGGCCTTTTCCGGCAAACTCGTTGACTTTTGATGCTGGGGATCACTTCAGTTCAATCCAGTTGGATTCGGCAGAGGCCTGGGTCGTTGGGCACGTGCCTTTACCCCGGATTTCGGAAGGACCTAGCGGATCAATGAGGGAGTGTGTCCTCCAAAAGTCAAGTGGAACGGGGACGCCCCACTATGAATGTGAATTGTTCGAGTTTAGTCGTAGGACCATCTGAAGTTGCCATACTCAACCAGGGGTCGATTAATGAATTGGGTTCCAGAAATACTCCGATCGAGTTTCCTGGTCGGTCAGTTTCATCGTATGAGCTGGTTTTGGTGGCTTTTGAAGGAGAGGAACTAAACACCTCAGGTTTCCTTGAGCGGTCTTTTCTTGGTCTCCCCCACTTTTTTGTCTGGCTTCGGTTCGGGTATGTCTCAATATCGGGTTTTGCTCTTCCCCTCTTCAATCTCGCCCTTTCGGTTGGGAGTACCCCCAAAACAAGGTGCAACCCCGCCGGCTTTTTTTGGGTATTGCAAATCATAGATTGATCCATACCCTGCAAACAAGGCCAGGGCTCTCCAAACGCGACAGCGACAGGTTTCCTTTCGGCTTCTCCTGCCAAGCTTTTCCGGCTGAGGCACATGGCTCCGGCCGCCTCAGACTCAGAGCATTTGTGCTTCGAAGCCAACAACTTTTGGGTAAGCCGTCGGGTTTCTGAAACATGGACTCGACCACCCGGGGTCGACAAGTTGTTGTTGTTTTTTCTCTTCGAGGGTGCCTCTTTGGGATTTGGTCTGAAGGGAAACCGAAAGGTCATCCACCAGCTTGGGGGTCTTGAATGAAAAATGGTGTCAAAAAGGATCAACCGGCAAATCCTACTAGAACTAAGTGGTTGGTGGTCATCCAAGTTGCTTGAGTTACGACCCCGGTCATTGATCCGAAATAAAGCCATGTATTAACCATGTAGCCACTATGTATCTGTTGCAAGAGGGCACAGGAGTTCATTGGGTTGCTTCCTTTGTCGCTTTTTTGTGGATGGGGGTTTCTCTTGAGATTTTCAACCCACAAAAATCAAGAGCATCCTTCTTTCCATGGCCACTGGTCTGGGTGAAGGACCCCTTTGTCAGCTTTGATTTGATTGGCGGTTTTCCACGGGAAGGAATCCGCAGTTGCGCAGTTCTCTCGAGGCATACGGAGGCGCGTCGCGGGAGTTGGCTCAGCAGTCGCATGGTTTGGACTGTTGGCTTTTCGAGCTGCCTTGAAGCTTTTTCGGATCTAATTCTATGACCGCAAACAGCGGCAAGCAGCAGCAAACAAATCCAAGAGGGTTGTGATTTTCTTTGCATGGGGACCGCTCGTCCTGGTTTCGGTTTTCTCTCCTTCGTTGCTGCTTTGTTCATGTGTGGGGCGGTGCAAAGAACAACGTCTTCGGCTAACATATTCCGACACCCTGGTCCCAGCACAAATTCAACATGTGATTTATGAACTATGCACACACACACACACACGCGCCTTGTTTGTTATGCTTTGAAATTTCTCCTCTTCGTTTTGTGCTTTATTTGTTTTGTGGTCTTTATGGAGGTCTGCAAAACAGGTGTTGCTGCTGCTAGGCTTGCATCTTTCCTTTCAAGGCGAGCCCGCGCACGCCATTTCCGAGCTACAGTATTCCTTGCTCACATTGTTGGTTGTGTCTTGTAATGAGGCTCCGATGCACCAACGGACAGCTTTGCTCTCCCCCTCAAAGGCTTCCAAGAGGTACTGTTTTGAGACCAATTTGGGTGTGTTTGATGCGGGAATCGACCCTGCAACTTGCTGAAGTCCTTGTTTGGAACATGGGAACCAGCGCCCTTTGGCGTTTGTTAGGGTTCTCTCAAAGACAGGAGGGATTTCAACCAGTTTATTTCGGCTTCTCGTTTTCCGCCAGGAGTGTTCCAACTGGTTCATTTGCCCGTGGAACTCCGTTTCAAGACGAAGTCTCAAGGTGTATCCCTGCTCTGGAACCCCCCCCGTAGAACACCTGTACCAAGACCCCATAGCCAATTTTCCGTTGTGCACAAAAACTAAGGTAGCATGAGCTCATCCAAGCTTCTTTTCCAGTGGGGTGATGTTGTTTGAGGGGGAAACACAGTTGAGGGAGCTTGCTCATTTTGTTCCAGAGATCCTCCTTTCCAGAAAAGCATCAGTTTGTAAAGCAAACTGGTTCACAAAAACGAGAAAGGAAGCGATCTTCAAAAAAGGGAACCACCTTTTTTTCCAACCCGGAACCTGTTGCTTGACCTCCATGGCCCTTGTAGTAAACAACAAAGCAGCTTGCAACCCCATATAGTTGAGCCCAACACCTCTCCTTCTCAGCATCAGCAGGAGCGGACTTTTGAGGTATCTACCTCCATTTTTGGGCTTATTAAGTTCATTTTTGGTTTGGGGGGATATAACCAACAAAGGCAACAGTTCATCTTAGTTGACGATTTCAGACTTTAAGGGCTGCACATAAATAGTCTTTCCGTGGAGTTGCGGGTTCTCTCACTCGTGTTTTCTTGCGACACCAGTCCAAGAGGGGGGTTACTTTCAGACGTACCCCTGGTTGCCAAGACCAGGTCCCCCTTGTTTGACCTCCCACAGGCCCAAGCAACCGACCAACTCCCGGCCCGGAGCGGATGCCAGGCATGAAGCAGAGCTCAGCGCAGTCCGCTGCAGCGGCGCTGCAAATGTTCGAGGCGAGATCCGGTTCTTCGAAGCGCGGGGCTTGCGAAGTCAGGGGCTGGTATTTAGGTATGCAGGTTAAAAAGCGCCGGGGCAGAGTTCCCCCCCATGATGGTTAAAGGTGAGGAATTCAATTAAAGGTGCGATTTGATCTCTGTAAAACACCCAACACGTAGCGCAAGGGTTGGGGGGGTGCGGCAGTGGATGGTTTGAGATGTAAGCTGAGTTCCCCTTGGTGTGGGGCGAGGTTTTAAGGGGACTCCTGTTCGTGTTGGAGGGTAGGGACGGCCGCGGATATTCGCCCATGGATTCGCATAGCCCGGCTCCAACGTAGGGCCTTGTCAAGTTATTGGCCAGGAATTCAGCGGCACTGTTGTTGGGGGTGGGCGTTTTGGATCCTATGCAAAATCAACCATCAGTAAAGTCAACGCAGGGGGCGTTTGTCCTCATTCACCTGTGACTGGCGGCAAGTTTCCTGAAATTTCTGGGGATGCCGAGAGGAACAACCGGCTTGGTGCTGCTGATTCACGGGCACTGCTTGTTTTCCTTGGAAACTCATTGCCTCTTTGGGAACACAACAATTATGACACAAGGGCGTGTGTGAGTTTCCTCGGGCGATGTTTCACGGGGACACACAGAGAACTCTGCAAAATGAGGGGCCCAACCCCAACGTGTCGAGCAAGGGATGTGGCCTAATCATGTGCAGTGTTTTAGTTAGGGAAACCAATGGGGAAGCCGCAGGGAGGGTGCCGGATATCGTTAAGCGCTTACTTTTAAGCATTGCAAAGTTCCGGTAAAATCACCAGCCTTATAGCGCAGCCAAGTAGCGCAGCACATGCAGAGCCACATGCACAAGAGGACAGGCAGGGCAAGTAGCACGAGACCACACGCAGTGCAGGATAGACGAGAAGAGCAGAGTAAGTAGCACGAGAGTACATGCAGAGCAAGATGCGCGAGAGGACATGCGCAGAACATAGCACAAGAGCACCTGCAGAGCAGGTAGCGTGAGAGCACATGCAGAGCAAGTATCGAGAGAGAACAGGCAGGATAAACGAGAAGAGCAGAGTAAGTAGCACAAGACTACGTTCAGAGCAAGATGCGCGAGAGGACATGCGCAGCGCGTAGCACAAGAGCACCTGCAGATCAGGTAGCTTGAGAGCACCTGCAGAGCAAGTATCGCAAGAGCACAGGCAGGATAGACGAGAAGTAAGTAGCACGAGAGTACATGCAGAGCAAGCAAGATGCGCAAGAGGACATGTGCAGCACGTAGCACAAGAGCACCTGCAGAGCAGGTAGCTTGAGAGCACCTGCAGAGCAAGTAGTGCGAGAGCACAGGCACGCAGCGACAGCGCGCAGGCAGACAGGAAGTTGCAGGAGAGAACGCCCGCGAGCAGCAAGCTGCGCAAGAGAACATACGCAGCAGACTCCACGAGCAAACTGGCACAAGAATGGCTCGAGCTCGCGCGAGACATCTTGCGCGAGAGAGATGGATCAAACCCACCCTGCGAATCTGACATTTTCTGCGGGGGTCGGCGTTAGATGTGCAAAAGCTGAGGACCTTGACTGCCTTTTGACAGACGGCGCGCGTAGCCGTCTGCGGGGATCGGCGAGGTCGACGTCTTTATTTTTGTTCGGTGTGCTTGCTTTGAGAAGGACCCTGCGTGTGACGACTTCGTGCGCACGAAGACGTGCAGAGAGATATTTGCAGAGAACTTGCACTGGTTGCTGATACTTGAGCTTGTATCCGCAAGGACTTGCATAGGATCTCCCCACTCTAGCCCACAGAAATTCAGCGGTTGAAAAGCAAGTACCAGCAGGCCGCAAGCTTAAAAAAAACGGTCAGCAACCCGTGCTGCGGACTTCGAGTCGTTGTCTCTCTGCGCTGCATCTGCGCGCAAATTTCTTTGCGCAAGTTCTGCATGCAAGTTCTTTGCGCCAGTGGTCTCTGCGCAAGTTGGCCCAGCAAGTTTCTCTGTGCAGGATCTCCATCCAAACTTCTCTGTGCAAGTTCTCGGCTAAAACTTATCTGCTCAAGTCCGTCTGAAAAGTTCTCGATGCAAGTTTCTCTCTTCGAGCTTTTGTCGTGCCAGTTCTTTCTCTGGGCAAGCTCTCGGGCGTTTTTTCGGCGCAAGTGCTCCCTGGTTCTTGTTGAGGGCAGGGCAACTACGACTTGACCTCCAAACCACCAGTCCCACCCGCCCTTTTAGAGGGAGCCAGCAGCCTCAGCAAGCTCCACACCAGTGCGACCGGCTGTGGCTCAAAATTAATCAGGAGGGGCAAACCGCAGGTGTTGGTCCATGTCTCCACTTACCAGGGTTCCATTTTGGTACCGGTTTTTGAGCCACAGCCAACCCACCTTGGTTAGAATTTCGAGTCGATGTTGACGCTCCGACGCTTCGACGGATCCGTCGATCCGTCGATCCGATAGGCCAAGGGTGTGACCGTGCCCAGCCGTGTGCGAGAGGCCTCAGACGGCTGGACTGGGTCTGGAAGTCTTCGCTGCTATTGGGCAACGGATCTTTAGACTTTAACTTTTTGGGAAATAAAGGTGTTTTCCACTAAACCCCCAAAAAGTTAAAAACTTTTTGCAGGGGGGTCATCCCTGGATCCGTGGATAGGCCAAGGGTGTGACCGTGCCCAGCCGTGTGCGAGAGGCCTCAGACGGCTGGACTGGGTCGTGAAGTGGGTTTGTGCTGTTGGAGGTTGCTTTTTTTTGTGCCGGAAAGCCATGGGACACTACGCCATGAGTGTCTTTATGGTATTGGAATGGAAGCAGCATCTAGTGTTTGTTTCGTTTGTGGTTTCAAAGGAAACTACCAGGTTGGGGTGGCTTTTGAGTTGGTCACGAAAATACCTTGCAGTGCCTCGTTGAGTTGCCCTAAGAATCTTGTTACCTCAAAATGGGGCAGAAAACAGGTCCCAAATCTTCCCATGAAGTTGCCGACCTCTCCAATGGTACTGTTGCAAAGGGAATCCAAGACAGGGGCCTTTAAACTTCCCAGCGGTCGCAGACCTCGCCTCTTTTCGTGGGTCCACACAGACTCGTTTTCGTCTTCTATCTGCGCGGGCGGTTGCCCCTTTGTTTTATTGGGGCGGCAGCACATGCGCTCGCATTGCGACATCTCCGTATGAGATGTTTGGCCAAATAATGAGGCAAGTTTTCTTTGTTAGCTTGGACGTTGGCCAGTGTGTTGACGGATGAATTGACAGATTAATATCCTTCAAAACACACCACAACTTCAGGGAGACACGGCGATGGTTTCCGTAAAAAAACAATAACAAAAACAGACCGGTTGCAAAGGAGAACCAGAGGCATACAAGATAGCCACATCTATTTGGTGCGCTATTTTGACACATACCCATGCCTCTTAGAATCCACCATCAGAAATGTCCTCGGTCATTTTCCCCGATTTCGCTGGGTGCTCCTTCACAAAATATGGAAGGAACCGCGGGTTTGAGTGACAGGGGGTGCGAATATGTGGGCATTAATTTTACTTGGGGACCCACATAGACATCATAATTCGGTGGACAATTTATGTTGCCATAGTATGAGATTCTCCAACACTTCCTGATTTGAATGGTCCATTTGGGATGGACGAGAAGCAGGAATTCACGCAACATCAACCACAAAAGCCAGGCAAGCCCTTGTTTGTGGATTGTCCTGGGGAAACTTGGTCATTTTGACCGCTCACAAGCGCCGTAAGACGAGTTCACTTGGGGTAGGGACTCAAGATATTTAGAGAAGCCTTGCAAGGCTTAGGACGTTGGCTCCAAGTTATGACATTTGGTTTTGTCTTTTTGGCTCGCTTTCAGGTGCGTTTTAATGGATTGCAGCCGTGGCCATGCTTCATTTCCTAAAACAAACAGTACTTTTTTTCTTTTGAACCCCATACTATCCTCCTTAAACATTACGGTGAAGGTACATCACCGGTCCAAAAGGTGATGTTCAAGCCACCCCCAAAAATCTGAGAATGTGGAGAATGGACAACCAGAGGGTTAGAAAGACCCACCCCACCTTTTCCGGGTTGTTTTTGAACGAAGCCCAGAGCAAACCGTGTTTGTTTTTTGGAGGGGGTCCAGCATTTTCGAGACACAACATGCTTGTGGGAAACAGGGCTTTGGAGCCACTTTCGCAGTACCACGAGAGTTCCCAAAGTCACAACGGTATGTCATGAAATGAGCCGTATATGGGTGCGTCTTTTTTAGGCACCCCCGCCCCCAATTGGTGGTTTCCTTTGGGTGTTCCTTAAAACTGCCAAGCAAGAAGCACCCTCAAAAGAGACCACAAATCACAGCAAACACTATTTTCCACAATGTTCCATTGGCAACAACATTTGGGGTACCAACAAGAACAACAACGGTTGTGTGGAGCCCCTTTTGGTTTGCGTTTCAAGGGACGCCGCAAGGACTGTTGCCATGTTGACCGGACCCTAATTTTACTATATTAGGTTTGTCTCAAATAGGGAACCAGCAAACAAACGTGGTTTCTGTTGGTTTGCTTGAACACCACCCTAAACAGGGAAGACCTATACCAACATCGAGAAACCGGCTGGGATGTGGCGAATCTGTGGAAACAGCCCTGGATATCAAAGAGTACTAGAGAACCAGGGGGAAGAACGGGTGAAATCCACCAGCGCAAATCCAAGCCATCCGCGAATAAGAAAAGGAACAAAGAACAAAAAAACAAAAAAAAAGAGCAACAAACACCCCCCGCCCAAGAAAAAAAACGGAAAAGAAGAAGAAGAAAGAAAGCAACAACACGCTCAGCTGACTGAGGCAGGCGGAGGAGGCGGCGATGGCGACCCGGAACAGGCCTTAGCGAGCACCTCCTTTGGGCGAGTTCCAACCCAACAATGGCACGGAATTCTATGGGCCCGGGCCAATTTGCCATAACAATAAAAGCATCGTAATTTTCGGGGACTTCGGTTTCCAGATTCCCTGTGTAAGTTCACGTTGCCATTGAATCAGAGGCCCTTGCCTTGAGTTGTTGGGCTGAGAGGCGTTCGTTTGTCTTATCGAGTGATGTTGGCAACATGGGAGTGAACTTTGATTAGGGCCCCTTTGCTGGGCATCGATTAGGCGGGGAGTTATGTCCACCAAGCATTGTGGCGAGTTTCCTCTATGGCCACATGGAGCCCTCACGGCGATGGCTTGCTTGGGCTTCCGAGTCGCCTGAGAGACAACAAGACACAACTGACAAGCTCGATTGCAGGGTCTGGAGAGCAACCCAGTTTAGGACAATTGATTGGTTTTCCTTCCCTTGTATTTGGCTTGTGTTCCGGTAAATGACAATGACCAATGTCCTATTCTTTGTTCTTCTCGTTTGTTAAATGTCCGCTTTCCTTTTAAGTAGGTTCCGTATTTTGTGGCAAACCGGATCTCTTTGGACAGCATCTTCCCTTTCAAGGGTCAATAAGTATGGCAGGAAACACCGTTTCTCTGTTTTGTTTTCGGGCCAAACCCTCAAAGAATCCGGCTTTCGGAGTCTTCAGATACCCCAAAGTTCCCCCTTACTGTGGATGGTTGCAACATCCATTTCGCACCACCTAAGAAACCCTGGAATGATTCGATTCCCTAGCAAATACCAACAAACGTTATGGTTTCAACCATGGTTTCTTGGGTGGCGCGCATTGGATGTCGCAACCATCCACAGTACGTCTTGATACCTTGCCAAGACCGATCCTTTCCAGCAAGCAAGCTGCTTGGGGGTAGTCTGGGCCATACAGCAGGTTCTTTATTTTGGGCGCTGCGATCTTTTTTTGGGACTTTCCAAGGGGGGTTACTTAGGGTCAGGATGGTGGGCAGACATGTTGAATATAGATCTTTAACAAATGAACTAAGATAAGCATCAAGGAATTCGGACCATTAGAAGGGACGGCCATGAGTCGGAAGCGGGCGTCTAGTTTCTCAGCCAACAACAGCTGCGTGTGTATGTGTGTGTGTGTGTTTGTTTATGGGTGGGGGGGCAGGGAATCCACATTTTCTCATGTGCGCACGGGGTATTTCAGGGTTCACCCCCCCCATATTTCCCGCTGGTTTGAATTCAGTGTTTTGGCACATTTCAGGTGAGTTTCCCTGCTTTAAGGGACATTCTCGGGAAGCCGGTATGTTGGGGCGCAACTCGCTTTCGACTTCGCTTGGAAGCATCTTGAGGGACAGCATTCAGAATGCGGGGTCTTTAGAGCTAAGCATCACCCCTACCAAGGATCCAAACAGATGAGGTTTAAAACCACCAAGGATCAAATTCAGGACCCCTGACTCATGACATTGATTTTTTGCGGCTATGCGGGACATTTTGATTCGTGACAGTGACACCCTCAACCAAATGTTAATTAGGGAACCCCCCAAAAGAACTGACATGATTTTGGAAGTATCTCAATTGGATGTAGCTCAATCTCAGGTGGATGTGGATTGATGGATGTTGCCACGCAGACCTCGCCAGGCTCTTGACCCAGGAATATGCGGCCCAGAAGGCGCTGTGGTAGCCGGGGCTTGTGTGATGGGCAGGCTCTTCACATGAGTCCAGGGTTCCATTGGTTTCCCTTTTCCTTGCTGGTGCGCAGTCGGCAATGACCCAGGTTGGGAATGAACCGTTTGGGATTCCCGAATAAAGGACACCAGCTCGGCGATGGTTGAACATTTTGGGGTCCTTCCTCCAATTCTCCTTCCCAGCAGGTTTCGGCCAAAATTCACCGGAAAAAAAAACCCGACCTTTAGACGAGCTTACCGGCTAGATTCTCGCCGGTTTCAACCCAAAGGGTTTCCCTTCCCCGAAGAGTTCGAAGCTTCTCGCCCGATGGCCACGTGCCTTCCTTTGGGTGTCCGCCTCTGGTGAAAATCCCCGCCCCGTTCACTCGCCGCAAGGGGCCCAGGTTGGGGAGACAGACACCAACCGAGCTCGCCGCAACGGGGCCTGCTCGCCTTCAGAGGCAAAGCAAAGTGGGCCGAATCCAAAGAGCAAGGTGAGTCGAATGTCATAGGCGAGTCAACGGCTTTTTGAACTTGAACTGTTTTTTTCCCCCGATCCCCGGCATCCCGACGGCGATGGCGAATGACCTCGGGCTTGCTTGCTGATCTGTTCAGGGGAGCCAACATGGACCTTGTGTACCGCCTGTCTTGAGACACATCTCCATTTTCGGAGAATGACGGGATGAAGAGAACCAAGAGGAGCCACTTGATTGAGGAATCGCCCGGCAAATTGTTCACTCATTCCCATACATTCCCAGTCACGCGAAAAAACGGGCCATGCCTCTTTCAATTCTACTGACACACTTGGGGGTTGTCAAATTTAGGGACCCTTCTTCCGTGTGTCCCCCTTAAATGCCGGCACTAAACATATTGGCAGCATTCGCATTGTTTGACCACCCATGGATGAATACCATCTCATCCCATTCCCTTTCTAATATTATTATTATATTTTTGTTTTATATTTACATTATTATTTGTTTATTTATTTAATTATTTGTTTATTTATTACTTGTTTTTTCCACGTCCTGCTGAAATGATTTTTGGCTTGATGATTGGGTGCCCACTGAAGATGTTCTCAACATTTCACCTTTGGGGTGTTTCCATTTGGGTGGGGGTCAAAAACATGTAAGCAGGAGATACCCTCACATGAGTCACAATCAAAACCCGGCGATTGGTGAAGGTTAGTAAGGAACAGTCCCAGCTCTAGTTGCTGGGTCGACCATTGTAATACCAGGTTTTGATTGTCACTCATGGGTTTTGTGTGCACTCGGGCATTTTGAAGTGGGTAGTTTTGAGGTGAGGCAAGAAATTCCAGACACCCAAATATACGTATTATACATATATATATATATATACACATACACCTCCAAGCCAGCAACCTGGAAAATGCCTTTGACCCATGGCGGTTTTGTTTTCTCGACGGCGATCCTCTGTGAGGCACTTCAGCCAGCGGCTCAGAAGTTGGTTGGGCTGGCAGGATCCGGGTGCGACAGCGGGTCATCCTTGGACCCCTCTGGTTGGGTGGAAATGGACACGAGAAAGACACGGCCGATTTTTGGAGGTCTCCTGATGGCAAGGAGACACGGGTCCCCTAGCCCACATTTTTAAGGTGCGGCAAGGATTTGCGGCGTTGGTCTCTCGAAGGAACGGGTGACGAACCTTGCGGAATTGAAGGCTCGACGCTTTGGGAATTGGCCCCTACGGGCACTCCCTCTCCATGCAAGGGACAGGCCCCGCTTTCAGGGCAACCACCATTCTTTTTTCTATTGTTTTCACGAGTCTTTTTTCTTTTCAGAAGCCTTCGAGTGAGGCTTCATTGGTGGCACCCAAGTCAAATCATATGCATGTTTGGCTCCAGTGGAGCTTTTGGTTGGCAGCCGGCATCTTTCACGGGGGGCCCTGATTTTGATCCTTTTGGGATGGAACAGGAGGCCTTTTTTTCCCCCTGCCTTGGAAGATACCAAGAACATCTTGAAGATGATTTTTAGCCGGCGTGCAGCAGTCTAAGAGCCCGATCTGGGCTGAGTGTCCCTTCAAAGAAGACACATGCTGGAGGGCTTCCTTGGATACCGTGGTTTCAAAGGGCTTCGAATGGTGGAGACCCAATCTCAGGCCCTGAAAAGTGTGGTTTGGCTTGGTGGTTTCGGATTTGAAGCCCTTCATGTAGAAGGTACCAATTGGAAACCCTCCGTTTCCCCGGGCTCCAAACCACTTGGAGGGAAGCAGACACGAAGCTCCATCTCGTCTGACAAAGTTCTCCGAAAAAAGTTCGCGCCGCTGGAACAAAAATGCCGCCACGCCCTTCTCCCGCTTTCCCAAACGCGACTGGAGGGAAGCTGGCTATAGTTCCAGGAGCAGAAAGACCCGCGGACGCGCACACACTGAGGCCGCATCGGCAGAAGGCGGAAGAGTCGGCCAAGCAGACGGCCTCCAGGAGTGGCTTTTTACCAAAGCGAGGTGGTTGAAACCATCGCATGTTTTTGTTTTTGTGGGCCACTCCATGCCGTTCTTTCACAGCAGGAACCCAAAAGGTGGGGTGCTATCAATCCAAGAAAACAAGTGTTGACCTTAGGTGCTTCTTCCGTTCATTTGCAGAAATGCAGGATCCGGCAGGAAGAGCGCGACTGTGTGTGTGTGTGTGGGTGCGTGCGTGCGTGCGTGCGTGCGTGCGTGCGTGCGTGCGTGCGCCGTGTGTGTGTGTGTGTGTGTGTGTGTGTGTGTGTGTGTGTGTGTGGTGTGTGTGTGTGTGTGTGTGCGTGTGGGTGTGTGTGTGTGTGTGTGTGGGTGCGTGTGTGTGCGTGTGTGTGCGTGTGTGTGCGTGTGTGGTGTGTGTGCGTGTGTGCGTGTGTGCGTGTGTGTGTGTGTGCGTGTGTGTGTGTGTGTGTGTGTGTGTGTGTGTGTGTGTGTGTGTGTGTGTGTGTGTGTGTGTGTGTGTGTGTGTGTGTGTGTGTGTGTTTGTGTGTGTGTGTGTGTGTTTGTGTGTGTGTGTGTGTGCCTGTACATGCCTGCCACAGGAGACCAAAGGCCTTTTTTTCAATCCGCAGGGGGACAGAGAGGACGGTGTTGGTCTCTGTCCAACGAAGCCACCACACCGATCCTGGGAAAACGTACCTGCGAGTTTTTTTCTGGTAATTCATACCTCCGTGCACTGGCTAGCACGACTTGGCGCAATGAGCCGCTACAACCTGTACCTACACCTACTCCTCACGGGGAGCTTTTCACAGTGTGTGTGTGTGTGTGTCTGTGTGTCTGTGTGTGTGTGTGTGTGTAATATCTGTGTTTGGGTTGGTTGATTGGATTGGATTGGGTCCGTCCGTACGCGTTGCTTGGGAAGCAGCAGATGAAGGTACTTTTGCCGGGATTAAGCCTTGCGGGACTCATTCCCCACCTTGTTGCCTCTTTTGCCCTCTGAGGGTTCCTCCATTTTCCCCTTTGAGCAACCAATATCTGGCTTTCCTGATCTCCAAAATGAGCTGCTAGCGCCTTCGGTCAACCGTCGGTTTCTGATTCCTGGACAGTGGATTGATTCCCTTGCCCAGAATCGCATGCACATTGGCTTTCGGTCTGGGCCCACAACAAATACATGTCCGGGTATTTTTTCTGGGATTACTTGGAGGTTGGCACGGATCGGGCCCCCGCAAAAAAAGCTGGAGACGCGAGTTCGTGGTCTTTCCGCCAGGCTGCAAAAGACCAGGTTGTCCAGCATCAGTTGGAGAAGATGAAGGCGGGGGAAAAAATCGAGAGTGAAAAGTGCCGTGCCAATCTTTCGAATATGTTTTTATTTGTATTTTTAATCTACTTGTTTTCTCTCTCTTTTTTTTCCGGTAAAACAGAAAATGTTGTCAAGCAAAATGACAGATTGAGCCTTAGGAAGCCCGGGGTTTGAACCAGTGGGCTTGGTCTTTTAGAGACCAGACCCCATTCATTCGCGACGAAGGGAGCCAACCGGAAGTCGTTGAAACTCAGCGTCCGCACGGGATGTGAGAACTCTCATCCAAAGTGTGTGGGTTATGGGCGTGCTGGGACCTGGGAAGTCGACGCGGCGCTTTGAGGTGACTTTCCGCTTTAAAAAGGGGCCATCAGAGTCGATCAGAAAGGACCGGCCTCAAACATCGCGGAAGAGGCCGCTGCCATGTCTTTGTGGCTCCCAGCCATCCCCGCTTTTTAGCCTTTTAGTGTTTAGTGGTTCCATTTAACCCACTAAAAGCTAGTCACTTTTAGCGGGGGATCTGAGGACAGCCCAGATGCACGGCAGAGAAACCATCAAGGCCCCAAGCACCTGAGCAAGCTGAAGCTGTTGCTGAGAAAGCAGCGGCTGCTCTCGCCGCCGAGCCCAAAACCCACACCTAGGAACACGAGCTTTAAACTTTGTTTTATGAAAATTATGAGTAGTTCTGGACAATTAACGATGGCAAACCATGCTTATCTTGAGACAGGGTGGACCCTCTGCTTAGCGATAGGCTTCGTTTTAACTACAGCATTTTCGGAAGCGTCACCTGGAGTCTCATGTCGGGCTGAGGGAGGGTAAGCTGTTGAACATGTGGAGTCTACGGGTTTTTGTTGGTTCGAGCGTGAATCTCATCCTTCCATTCGCGCACTTCGTGAGTTCCTGGAAGACCGATCAGGTGGCAAAGGCTTGGACTGTCGTGGCTAAATATAGGGCCCCCCATGTTTTCTCCCATAGGGCTCTCTCCAAAAGGGCAGACCCCTTGTATGTCTATTTTTGAAGGGACTAAAGGAGAAACCAAGCCGCTTCTTGGGGTGTCCTCCCTTTTGCAGCTTGAATCCAGCTTCTTCCCTTGGCCACTCTGGCTTGCCAGGCCCACGAGGGAGGCCGTGCTCGGGGGGGGAGGGTGGGATGAGTCCCCGCCGTCGTTGAGCCCGATGCTTGGGGTTCTGTGGATTCTTTTTTTGGGTTTCTCCCTGCAGCTTTTGATCCTGACTGGGTTTTTTTGAAAATGGCTCATTGGGGGAGGGGGGGTGACCGCAATGATTGGATCTCCATGTATGGTAACCCATTTTCCCCTTTATGAAGAAACATATTCAGAATCCACTACGTTTTGAGAAGTGAACCTATGTATTGGTCCAATTAGGCAGTCTCCAAAGGAACCCATGGGCACTCCTGAATCGCATGCTCTAGCAAAGCAGGGGGGGTGGGGGGGCTGGTCAGAAAGGGCGTGTTCATTCTTTTTTGGTGCTGAATACACTTGCCACGGGGAAGTGTGCAATGCCAATCTGGGGTGGGTTTGCTTTGTAAAGAACGCAGGGCGTTTCCTCTCGCCAGACTGTTGAACCTTTTGCCCCTTTGCCCTTTCATGTTTCCTTTATTTTCCAACTTGCTACCGGAGGTGACGACTTTTAGGGTGTCTTTGACTCGTTTGGCTGGCCGTTTTCCGGGTTGTGATGCAAGCTTCGCAGCGGACGGCGGCGGGTATTATTTTCTGTTTTGGACCCCAACCCCCCCCCCCCCCCCCCAGTGCAGGCTTGTTTGGGGTGGTCCCAAGACAAACCCACTGCGGACATGCGGAGTGACAAAAGCAACGTCATGGGTTTCAGTTGGTACCTGCCATGGTGTTCATCAGACATCCTGTATGAGGTTGAGTCAACATTTTCCTAAGACGGGGCCAAACCAAGCATGTCCTAGTTCATCAAAACTTTCGCATATTTTCGACTGTGTCGCGTTGAATCGGGCAACCCTCCATTGGTGACTTGGATTGGGGATTGGGGGTTGAACCCCTTTGCCGTGGAAACTGCCCTCTCAAAAACATGCAAACCTGAAAGAGGGGTCCCGCGAGAGGAAAGCATAATTTCTGAATGGGGTCCGTGCCATTGGGGGTAAACTCAGACTTGGATAGAACTAGGTGAGAACCTCAGTGGATGGATTGATTGACACTACTGTAGTCATTGACCTACTTATGTGAAGAGCTAACTTAGTATATAATAAGTGACTCCAAACGTTAGTTGACATCCTGATGCCTTTCAGGGCTTGAACATACTAGTGCTCCGTGGTTGGTTTAGCTTCAACAGCTTCACCAAGAGCCCTGCATTTTCCAGCTCGCGCCTTTTTCTCGAGGGTTGCCATTTCCCTTTAGCACTGTGGATGGACATCCATTTCGCACCACCTAAGAAACCATGGAATGCTTCGATTCCGTTTGACCCATGGTTTCCAAGTGGTGCGCATTGGATTTCGTCCATCCACGGTATGACCCGGAAAAGAACCGTGGCTGGGAAACCAGTCCTTTTGTTCCCCGTCAGGGCTCACAGAGCGCCGGGGGACCCAGACGTGTTCGAAGATGCTTTCAAGGGACATGTCGACCGAAACGCATCGACCGAAACGCAGTCGTCTGGTTTGACATTGCCTCCCGAATGTCTGTGGTTTTGCGGGGACCTGGCTGAGCCTAGCATCCTGAGTGGTCCAATGGGAAAGCCACAGGAACGCTCTAGTCTATGGCCCAGTGACGGGTGGTTTGGAGAGCCAGCTTTGCTACGGAACATTCACCCTTTCTCTATTTTGGTGAGGTTCTAGTGGATCGAGGCAAGCCATTTTAGTAGGGAACCAGGATAGTTACTACTATTTATGTAAATGACACATGAGGTTCGGTACAAATGTCCAGTGGTCTATAGGCCCACAAACCGTGGGCCTCACCCATTTTTCCATGGGATATATTCAAAATCTTCGCCGGTGGCTCACATGGTTTCCTTATATAGTTGCGTACCGCTGCCAGGGTTCCTGCTTGCTTCCTCTCGACAGCGGCCGGCACTTTTGGGGTAGACATTTGGCAATGCTTGCCGAGGTGACAGGAGCCCACGAACACATCCATCCTACGAATCGGGGGAGGTGTCACCCGCAAACGTGAAGGATTCCCTCTCCTACTAATCAACCATAGATCAAGCAAGTTATTCATTTGGGGTTAACATTAAATCAAGCAAAACTAAACCATTTGCTCACTTCCTGAGTTCATGAACTTTAAACTTTTTGGGATGACCATTTTAGTGGCAAATATATAGAGTTTGGACTTTTTTGGGCCATCCACTCAGCCAGTGAGTTTGTAAAATGAAGAACCATACATGGTTCAGTTGGGGAGGTCCTCATTCTCCATGGCCATTTCGTGGAGCGTTGACCGCGCTCTCGCCCGCCCGCGTGGAGCCGTTTTTTTCGCGATTTCCCGAGGCTACCAAGGCGTCCTCAAGGCGCGGGGGTGGCCCTTGTACAGACATGGCTCCATTGTTGCACCAGAAAACGTGGCTCAATCGCACGCATTCTCTCTCTCTCTCTCGCTCGCTCTCTCTTTCTCTCTTTCTCTCTCTCTTTGTCTCTGTCTCTGTCTCTGTCTCTGTCTCTCTTTCTGCTGGCCAGTCTCTATAATCTTATGTTCATGACGAACATTTGCCTTTGAAGTACCCCCGTTCCAATTCACTAGGCCTCAATACGCGCTCACCCGTCGGAAAAAGGGAAAGCTCTGGGCCTCATGCCGCAGGTGCCTTGGGAACCCATTGCAGAACTTCGCCCAATGCTTCAAGTTTGGGACTACAGGTAACGAGGGAAAGCATCATGTAAAACCTAGAGGTACCACACCCTGTCTGCGCACTGTAGTGGTGACTGGAAGCATTCTAGAACAACTTCATGGATTCCGCCTGTTGCTTGGTGCTCTTTTGGTACTCTTTTGGTACTGCTTTAGTGCCCCAGGGGGTTTGCGGATCCACGTTTTGAGCGCATCCAAAGTGTGCCTTGAAGATTTCCGCAGTTTATTTTACAAGTCCCGCCTTTCAACGGAACAGTGACTGTGAAGTCTGTTCGGTCAGCATTTTCCTGGCAGCTCCGAAAAAGGAGCTTGTTCAAGCGACTGGTCGGTTCAAAGCAGGTGCAAGCATGTTTGCAGGTTGTTCAAACAAGACTTCCCAGGCCTCTTGACAGCCTCTTTGAGGGGGCTTCTGCACTTCTCGCGTGCCAGGAAATTTCTCTTGGTTCTGGTTTCTCACGTCACCATTTTGGGTGCGGGATGTTAGGGTGGGCATATAGGAACCCTGTGTGTCCCACTGTTGTCCCTCTTCGGAGACCAAAAGGCGAGCCAGGTGGAGCTTTTGCCTGGGTATATCTTTTGTTGATGGCAGCCTCTCTGAGTGGTTAAAAGGACGGACGACCAAAGAATTCCAGCCATCTTGGGTCCCGTATTGTAAGACAACCTCAAATATAGGGTTTCCTTCCGAACCGTGATTCCGATGTGCTCTTGGTGTGACACCCGCACTGGTCGACGAAAAGAGGATTTGGCAACAGGACTGCCTGGGATACTGGAAGACACCCCAATGGTCAGCCAACATGACACCCCAAATTCGACGGAGATCACAAAACAAGGGAACCAACCATTGGGGAGAAGATCCTCGCTGGCGAGTGGGGTTTCATGCTGTAGAGGTTGGTTTTTTCTTTGATACCAAGGTAACCAAGCCTCTTCAAAGTGATGAAGCAGTCGTGGGAAGGACCCAGTTGGTATCACAACAGGGTCTGTCTCTCCGAGGAGCCCCCTACAAGGGTGGGTTTTCTTATCGTTTCTCTTGCTAGGCTCAACAAATCTAGGGGTATCCTGGCCGAAGCACCCAAGACCATTTGGCAAGAGGATGTGGTGCCTGGCTTCAATATTGGGGCTTAAGGGAGGGTATCCGGCTATCCCCTCCAGAAAGCTCCAGGCACCCGGCCGCGACCGCGTTTTCCAGTGCCGCGACCGCT